TGGATAAAGAAGATGTAGGGGTTATGGCTCTGGATTGGTTGTTGGCATTTGAAAAGCATGCCTTAGGGCAAGTTGTTTACCAGTTCTAGGACTGGCCAGCCCTGGGCAGGGCAGTCTGTTGGCTTAGTAATGCTCCAGAGGTGGAAGCTTCAGAATACAGAAAATGCAAGACATGGATCATACAATAAAGAAAACAAATCCATTCTGACCATGTGGCTGCTGCATTGCCAGCTGCTGAAGATCCATATCAGGTTTCTGAACCCCACTATGCCCATTCCATGGCCATAAGAAATGAGTGTGCACCTCTGGAATGGCATCCCTCAAAGGCTGTGTTGACCTCAGGCATGCTTCAGCATCCAATGTGCATGTTCCTTCCTCCAGGAAGCCCTCCTGCACCACTCCCCTGGTCTCAGTGGCTTTCTGCTGCCCCACGGCCCATGCTTGCTCTGTCCTGGCATTGACCCCGCTGGGTCATCAACTGTCTATATTTCCACTCCTCCCACAGCCTTGACTGCAGATTAGATCCACCTGAGAACCATAAAAGATCCCACTACTCAACACTCTGTCCTGCAAGAGGAATCAAATAATAGCTTCTGGAGGTTGGGTCTTGGGACCCAGGTGATGTGCCACCAGGACAGAGAACAACCATCCTGGGCCATGAGGTCCTCAGCCACAGGGACTCTGCCTCCTGAGGTCACTGGACACAATGCCTGGCCATGGCAAGTCTGCAACAAGTGGACCACTTTCCGGAATACAGAACAGGATGAGGACTACATCCTTCATTGCCATGATCAATGATCTGTGAACCAGGGCCCTCAGTGGCACTTAGGTGCAAAATGCAGGCTCTTTCCTTCTGTCTCTCACTCTTCTTTCCTTGCCCACCTTTGAGGAAGTTCAGCTCCTGTGTGGAAAGCACTAACCCACCTGCCTGTGCACGTGGTTCCATCCATTCCTTTTTCTCTGGCGTCTTCCATCAACCTTGAGGTAGGCAAATGCAATAATGGCTTCAATTCTTCACCTCTCTCTGGATCACCCCATTGCCATGTGCTTTTGCGGTGTCCTTTCCCTCGGGCTCTAGGTTTGGCCAGATGACTTGCTTTGTCTCCTGCCTTGGTGGCAAACATGGCACAGGTGGAGACTTGAGTGATCAGGCTCTCCTGCTCTTGCTCCTGCTATGGCCATGAGCAGGCCATGCAGATAAACTTGCAGGGCATGATCTCGAGGAGCAGGGCTGAGTCACCCAGCCAGCCAAGGCCAGAGGGCATCAGCTGACAGCCAGTTGAGCCTCAGACATTGGAGTGGGTTTAGCCAACATCAACAGCACAGCCTACCCAACCTTGGTCTTAGGAGCCAGACTAGCCAAGATCAGCCAAGCCCAGCCTAGAGCCCCTCAACCCCAGGATCCTGTGAGCTAACTGGATGTTTTTTGTCTATGCCATTTAGGCTATGTGGTTATTCATTTCCCGGCTTTATTGTACTAGTAGAAAATTAATGCAATTGCTTCCCCCTCTCCCTATGTCTTTAAATTCCCATTGCCTTGATCTCGTGGTCCTCAGCCTAATATGCACTCAGCTCTTTTCTCTGCCTTGTTCCAAGATGCTCTATTTTCCTTCACTCTGTTTTACCTAAATGCATAGTCTCTCTCTCTCTGTTTTTGCAGCTGGCTCAGAGACCTCAAATCTCAAAGCAGAATTAAAGTGTCCATTCTAAGACATAAAACTCTGAAAGACAGAAAATAGGCAGACACTGGGGAGCAGAGAAGCTTGTGGGATATGCTTGGATTTTGTGTAAAATTTGCAGATCTTGGACATCACTAATAAAATATAAATGCATTTGTTTAATTATGTTTATATTTCATTTGAAGCCCAACTAACTAACTTGTTCTCTGAGAAAACATTTAATGCAACCAGTGATGGGACTCTTGAAACGGTAATACAGTTACTGGTTTGTACAAGGTTTTGTCATATCGTTTACAAAAGGTTCCAGTAGATGCCAGCAGATGCCAGCACAAATGGGGTGCCCTTGGGACCCACTTAGGAACAGGTACTGTCCTTCTTGCCTTATGGCTAGGTCATGCTTCATAGTAAAGGTCTGGAAGGTATGAAGTTAATTTTAAATTTTAAAAAACCTACAAAAATGAATGGTTGTTGTATTCAAACCACCCTTTTGCTTGTTTCTGCAGTTCTGCTCCACTGTCTTTACCACCTGTCCATCAGGCACACCTTCCTCTGTCTGGCCCTGTCACACCCTCAGGATCCCACTGTCATGGCGTTGCCTTCAAGACAACCCCTGCACACCCCTTTCCCTCTCCCCTCTGCCCCGACCTCTCGTGAGCTTCCCCACACTCTCCCCAACACCATGCAACCCATCAGGGTTAGGACCCTGTTCCCCTTCTTCATAATTCCCACAATCTGGCACACAGCAGGTGCTCAAGAGATGTTTACTGAGTAAAAGACAAAAGCAATAATGGCCACCTTCAGGCTCTGCTCAAAAAGCCGATCAGCTTCTCCCCTTGGAAGAGCAGGTAAATGAGGGCTGTGGGCGTAGACTCCTCTCTTTCTCTCCTCTCCCCAGAAAGGAGACTTTTCTTTTTCTGAGAAAAAGTCCCTGCTCCTAAATTTCTTTTCTGTACCACCTGAAAAGCCACTCATTGGGTGTTGCGGGTGGGGGAAAGGTTATCAGCCATTCACCTCTTAGTATGAAATATTATATTCAACGCTCTGTCCCGCCATCTAGCAGAGACTTTTTGATAAAATGGGAGGCTGGAGAGGAAGAAGATTGGATGCAGGGGCACTTGGGGAGTGTGTGGGGTGCTGCATAGCCAGAAGGGCTGGGACACTGTGAAGGCCAAGCAGGGGGTGGCAAAGGAAGAGGAGCTCAAGGGGGCAGAAGAGAATCAAGAAAGAATGTGGGAAAGGCCGAGGTGGAGGCTGAGAATGGGTGCAGAAAGGCGGGTGGGATGGGTTGCATGGAAATCCAAAAGACAGGAAAGACAAAACTCAGGGGAGGCTGCCTGTATCTTTTGTGCAGTAGTTTCAGGTGAGCTGTGGCCAGCGGTGGTGGTGATGGAGCCAGAACTATGAAGCCAGACAGCTCTGGATGACCCCTCACCTCTCTGCCTCACTTTTCCTCATCAGTGCAAAGGCTGGCTTATTGCTATTCATGTTTCTGCCTCAATTTTGCTTCTGGGATGCTATGCAGGTCCTGGAAGTCTTCCCCTAGCAGTCTCTATTAATCAATAGGACAGAGCCTTGAGGATGCTGCCAGGAACCCAGTCTTTCAGACCCCTGCTTTCTAGGTTGCCATGAAGAACCAGCCTCCGTGTCTTCTCACCTCCTCTTCACCTTGCTTCTGTGATGTGACCTTGCCTAGCCCTGAGCAGAGACAGGGACAGGAAGAGGGCGAGTTCCCTACCCCTTCCTGAGCACTTGCTTACTGTGAAGCATGGCTGAGCTTCGAGTCTCACCCGAGACGAGACTCTCTCCACCCTGCAAGGTAGGGTGGGTTGATTACTTCTGCAACACTGCTGGGAAGGCTGAGACATGGAGGCACAGCCACTTGCTCAAGGACACTCAGCTGGCTGGGAGCTCAGCTGAACACCACATCTGAAGATCCTGACTTTTAGATACAGACTGAAGACCTTGCTTTTGCTTCCTCTCCTGCCTTGATGTGGATCCTCTGCTCTGTTCATGCTGCAGGCATCTTGAGGCTGCTGCTCACCTTCCATTCAGGAGCACAGTGAGTTCAATCTCACTGCCCGAAAAGCACTTAGTGTGGTTCCAGCATCTGATGCAGAGATGCAAATGGTTCCATCCACCACTCCTGTACATAAGGATGCACACTATGAGGCTAGGATGCCCCAAGCTATGCTGCTGGCAAATGGAAGGTTCGAGAGGAGCTTTGAGATAGAACCATGATCTCAGCCTGCAGGGGTGGGGAGGGAGAGTGGGGGAGCTGCACAGAAAACTTGACACATTCATCCTTGAAGGCCTCAGCATAGACTGAGAATCCCTACTTGAGAAGAATCCCCACCTGCTCTCTCCAGCCAACCCCATGTTAGGCCCTGAGAGATGGGCCCCTGAAGCAGTGCCAGTGAATTTAGTTTTCAAGGCTGTAAGGCCACTGTTGGCATCAGCCACAAGTTGATTGTCAAGGCCACTGAATGTTCTTGGGCTGAGCCCTAGGCTCATGGTTCTTAAACTTTGTTGGGCATCCCATCCCCAGAATTCTGATCCAGAATATAGGAGCCCAGGCTTGCTGAAGCAGGACCAGACCTGACCTCTGGTTTTTACCAGGTCCCACAGGTAATTCTGATGAGGCCAGAGTTGGAGAGCCACTGACTTGGTGCCTTGCTACTCAAAGTGTGGTCCATGGACCAGCAGCATCAGCCACCTGGGAGCTTTGCGGACTCTGAACTTTGCAGAGTCTGGTCCCACCTCAGACCTACTAAATCAGTTTGAGAAGATGCCTAGAAGAATCCGTGTGCATATAGAGGAAATTTTGAGAAGCCTGACATAGCCGACAGATGAGTAAATGCTTAGTGGATAATCAAGTATTAAGCTCTGCTTGCTAGGCATATGTTCTCATTTCATCCCCATGACCACCCTGCAAGGTGCCTTTTCCCAATTTTACGGAAGATTACATTGAGACTCAGAGAGGTCGGAGACTCCTGAACCCACTCAGTCCATAGGTGAGGGAGCTGGGGTTAGAACCCAGGGACCACATGCTTGTCCTCACTGCGGCCCTGTCCTCCTCACACAGGGATAGAACAGCAATGACTTCAGATGTGAACACTTTAAGTAACTTTGATTCAACTTACCACAGCAGGACACAGACCAGAAATTTACACAGATGTCCATTCACCAGGATTGAAATAAGAGAAGGTTTCCAGCCAACCCTAATCTCCAACTCAGCAAGACCCAATCCCCACCCCCTCCCCATTTCCCAGTACCTCAAACTTTCCACCAAGAGTCCCTGTAAAGGATTCGTAGTGGGCTTACCGTGTTCATCCAGCAGGATGTTGTCTGGCTTGATATCTCTGTAAAAGAAAACAAAGAAGCTGGTAATGTGGTTCCTGAACTCACAGATGAGCACATGGACAAGTACCACATCAGGACAAATGCTGGCAACACCCAGGCTGCTCATCTCTCCCTGACCTGAGGCCTCAGACAGGGAGCAGTAGAGTAATTGGTATGACAATGGGACAGCTGTGTTCTCATCTCCTCTTCTCTTTCCTGGAAGTGCAAGTAGATTGTTTGAATATTTTTTCCGGAATAATCTTAGCTTTTTGGTTGTTTGTTTTTGAGACAGAGCCTTGTACTGTCGCCTGGGCTGAAGTGCAATGGCACGATCTTGGCTCACTGCAACCTCCGCCTCCCTGGTTCAAGCAATTCTCCTGCCTCAGCCTCCCGAGTAGCTGGGATTACAGGTGCCCACCACCACACTCAGGTATTTTTTTTGTATTTTTTAGTAGAGATAGGGTTTCACCGTGTTGGCCAGGCTGATCTTGAACTCCTGACTTCATGATCCGCCCACATCAGCCTCCCAAAGTGCAGGGATTACAGGCATGAGCCACCGCACCTGGCCAATATTCTTAGCTTTTAGCCTCTCAGCTCCAGTTGTAATGGTAACAGCAGCGACTGCTCACTGAGCATGTGGTCAGCACCAGCAGGTGGAGGCACCTGCCTACCCTGAGGTAGCTGAGCCATCCCACCACGCCTCCCTGCAGGTGTCATGGCGTCCGCAGAGCTAAATTAGGGTTTGTAAGTTGTGGCAGTCAGAAATGTGCAAACTATAGCTCTTGGCCAAATTCAGTCCTGGGCCAGTCTTTGTATGGCCTGGGAACTAAGAACCAATTTAACATCTTTAAAGCCCTGTAGAAACAAAACAGACACACACCCACGCACACACAGAAGAACGTGCAGCAGAGACTAACATGGCCTTCAAAGCCTAAAGTGTTTATTACCTGGCCCTTTATGGAGAAAGTATGCTGACCTCTTTTAAGGGTAACATAGTGACCCACGTGGGGCAAAATCTGGGCTGAGGAGTTTCTGGAAAGTTCTGCTCTATATCACCATGATAGCAAAGCGTCTCTCTCTTCCAAGTAAAACATTTTGAACGCTGAGGCTCTGCTTTCTTTGTGTCTACATGCCCGTATCCAGAACAGTGCCCGACGCAGTAGTAGACACACGTGAAACACCACTGAGTTTAAGAATGAAAGGAAGAGAAGAACAGCTTCAAACTCAACTTACTTATTACTGACGTGTACACACTTGCTGAGCTCTGCATTAAAACCACAGATTTTACAAATGCATAAATTTTCGCTCGTTTATAACAAATGTCACATCTACTGAGACTAATGATAGCTTTCTTTGAAAGAAAGAGCAACTTCTCCTGAGTGTATCCAATATGAATTCTACCTGAAAACACGCTGTGGTTCTGTGTAGTGATGCAATGCAATGTCCATGGGTTTAGGGTCGAAAGAAGCACTCAACCTACATATTAAAATTTTTATTTTCATCGTGCCTTTGCAAGCCCATGAGTACTGAGCAGCACTGAGTACGTGGGCCCCTGCTGCTGAGGTCACAAAGCCTCCACTGGGAACTACGGGATTACTGCAGAGACCCGTAGGGAGCCTCATGGGAAGGATGAACTTGGGAACTTATACAATTAAAACAAAAGGCAGAAGACCTAGAGTCAAGTGTTTGTGGATCAAGTCAGCAAATGCTTGGACCCTGCCCAGGTGGTTCCCAGCAGGGTTTCTTAACAAAAGTTGATAAAAAAGAAAATAAAATAACAGTCAAGAATGAAAACATAGCAGCAAACGTTCAGGCTTATCTCTTAAAGTATCACCAGGACTGAGATGATTTCATGTGGGGTGTGGGGACCAGGGAGGAGGTGGCTGTGGTCCGGGGAGTGGGGGCTACAAAATGCCTACAAGGGCCGTAGCCTAAAGATAGAGTCAGAGGCAGGACACAGGTGAGGTGAGAGGCGGGATGACAGACCCAAGAAGATATGATCTGGCGTACTGGGTTGAATGGTGTCCCTCCAAAATTCATGTCCATCCTGAACCACAGAATGGGACCCTATGTGGCAATGCAGTCTTCGCAGGGGTAATTACTTAAGGATCTAAAGATAAATCATCCTGGATTTAGGGAGGGCTCTAAAGACTTGTGTCTTTACAGGAGGAAAGTGCAGGGAGGGATTTGAATACAGACACAGGAGAGAAGGCCGTGGGGAGACGGAGGCAGAGGCTGGAGTGATGAAGCCATAAATCAGGAATGCCTGGAGCCTCCCAGAGCTGGAACATGCAGGGAGCGAATTCTCTCTTAGGCCTCCAGAGGAAGCACAGCCAGGACTCTGCTTCGATGTGGACTTCTAGCTGGAATTATGGGAGAATAAATTTGTATTGTTTTAAGCCACCAATTTTGCAGTAATTTGCTGTGGCAGTCCCAGGAAGCTAACACAACTGGCATGAAGGAAGGAGAGCTGATGGAGGGGAGGGCAAACCTCAAGGGGCAGCTAGGGCCCCACTAACCACAGCATGGCCTTGGATGAGCCCAGTGCCTGGCCACCCCCACATCTACGCTGCACCTGCTCAGAGTGTCTCATATCCTGAGAACAGAATGGGGCACAGATGTTGCCAGCTTGGTCCCTAGACCCCACAGAAAGTGGCTGTCCTGTTTGGGAGAGTCCAGCCCATGAGCTAGACAGTTTGGGTTCCAACTCCACCTCGCCTTTGACTATCTGCATGATTCCTGTCTCTGCCTGAGTTTCCTTTGCTGTGTGGATTAAATCTCTGACACGTAACACACGTTGCTTCTGTACTGGCTCTTAGCACAGAGTGGAATCTCAAGCATTTATGGGGTTTCCCCTTTATGGTCGTGAAGGCATGTCATGAACAGGACGGACCCAGCCGAATGGAGCTTGCATTCTAGGAGAGGCAGGCCAGAAGGTACATAAATAAATCGCAGGATTGTTCATTGTAGCAGGTGAAGAAGGCAAACCAGAGTCTAGAAAAGAGACCAATAGAGGGTCCCTAGTTTTGGCAGATGGTCAGGAAGACCTTAAGAAGCAGTGACTTTGGGTTGACATCTGAATGGCAAGAAAAAGCCATCTGTGCACCATCTAGGGAGCAAGTTCTCATTTTGCAGATGAGGAAGGAGGAGGGTGAGAGAATAAATCATCTGGCCTGTGATGTGGTTCTAGACACGGAAGCTGACAAAGGTGATGGGTGTCACTCCCTTAATTCGGTTATGTCACAGGGCAAAGTCAGTGGGAAGGCATTCCTGGGATGACATTACATTATATGACTCTGTCTCGGCAGACTGGAGTGAGAGCTCATGACATGAACTGCTATGTGAGAGCCAGTCACATAGCAGGGAATCTAGGTGTCCTTGGGAGGAAGAGTGACCACTGGCCAATGGGTAGCAAGATAACCGGACCTCAGTCCTACAGCAACAAGAGCTGAAATCTGCCAACAACCAGCAAGAGCTTGGGGGAGGACCCCACCCCATGTTCCAGAAAGGAATGCAGCCGGGTGGGCGTGTGGATTGTAGTTGTGTGAAAACCTCCGCAGACAATCCAGTTAAGCCTACCTGGACTCCCGGGCCACGGAAATGCAGTGAAAAGAAATGTGAGCTATTTCAAGTTGTAAAGTTAGTGGTAATTAGTTGCATAGCGATAGAAAACGAATATTCTAGCTATATAATTTGAGGCTACCTACTCTGAGCCTCGTTTTCCTCATCTGGGAAATGGGAACAGCAGCGGCTATCTCACTGTTGCCGAGTGTACAATGAGATGACATTTGTTCAGCACTCTGCACAGTCCCAGTGCAGCGAGGAAGAAGTGCTGAAATAAGTCACAGCGATGGGACTGACATTGCTCTTTTAAAAGGAGCTGGGGAGAAGTCAAAGGCAGACTGGCAGATTCCTGAGCTTTTAGAAAATTAGGTCTGTTTCACAGGAGACTCTCTGGGCAGATGCCTGCAAAGCTGTGTGGAGGAGATGGAGAATCTGAATCACTTGGGATTTAATAAGAATAGCATCTTCTGGGTAAAGTATCTTAGCAGTGCCTTTAGTATAGACAGTTTCAGGAATGTTTCCTCCAGCTCTGTTTTTTACATCGATCATATCTCAGCTCCAGCGCGTCATCCTGTTGAAAATGCGTTTGAACGTTCAGAAAGGGCATTAGGAGCATTGCATGGATGGGAAGGCGGTGACAATGTTTTCTGAGGACAGGCTCATAATTTCAGAGCTAGGCAAAATGACACTTTGATGGAAAGTATGCATGCAGGGCTATAAAACCTAGGCCTGCTCTTGAATTATTCCCCAGCCCTCAAATAAAACAAAGCATAAAATGTCAGCTGGGCTATTTTAAAAAATAGCATAGAAATGGCTCTGATCCACAGGTACCCATGAACAGACTGCAAAGCAGGGCCACCAGGACATTTCTGCATGTGCCTTTTGGCAGGGAGTTTCTCAATATTCTATGCTGGCAATCTTACACAGCAGCAAAGACAAATACAAAAACTTGGAGGCAAAGCTAGACAAAGTGAAGTAAAAATCTGTGGCTATTTCACCACTAGTGAAGGGAACATGTTATCCATATGCATGCGAGAGGGAGCGGGAGGTAGCAAAGGACAGAGAAGAGAGACTCAAGATCCCGTCCTGACTCTGCCTCTTGCTGGCCATGCAGACAGGGCACACAGCCCTGGTGAGTGATATGGTTAGGATCCCGTGTGCCCGCCCAAGTCTTCTGTTGAACTGTAACAGCCAGTGTTGGAGGTGGGGCCTGGTGGGAGGTGACTGGATCATGGGGTTGGTTTCTCCTGAATGGTTTGGTGCTATTGTCACGATAGTGTGTTATCATGATAGTGAGATAGTGATAGGTGTGTAGCCCTTCCCCAGGCTCTCATACTCCTGCTCCAGTCATGTAAAACGTGCCTGCTTCCACTCTGCCTTTTGCTATGGCTGTAAGTTTCCTGAGGCCTCCCCAGAAGCCAGGCAGATGCTGCCGTGCTTCCTGTCCTGCCTTCAG